TTTAAGTTCATGGATAGTTTTCTTACATTGCTTGACTTTGATTTGCGATTTGTCGATGATCTTTTAATTTCTTCATCCCTTTTGTGGTTCATTTGCTGGTGTAGTTAGATTTGTTCATATCTTTATTTTGTTCGAACATTTTAATTAGATTTTTAACATTTTCCTTCAATAATGACTTTCTATAAAAAAAAACAATATATATATATATATATATATAAGTGTATTCTAACACCTCTATCCACTTATATATATATATATATATATATAATTACATAATTAGTAGTAAAAGTTTAACGTCATAAAAAATAATTAATAGACAGATAAAAGTGGTACAGTAAAGGTTTAATATAAAAAATATTCAAATTATACGTCTTTTCTCATTTAGGTGTCTAAATTTTTTCAGTCAATTCAAGTGTTTAACGTTACAAACGTTATCATTTTCAGTGTCTCGACCATAATGACCGTTAAAATTTTCTGTTAAACGACACATGTCGTATTTATATAATTTAAAATTTATTTTTAATATTAATTTAAAAAATATTTTTTCTTAAAATAATTCCCCCCACTATTCGTCCCCCACCCCCAACACTCTTCGTCCCCTTCATCCAATTTCAAATCTCCATGGACTGAAACAGTAAGTAAGCAAGGGTGACCCTCGATTAAGGCTAGTAATCTTATATTCCAGATTAAGGACAGTCAACGATTATTATTAGATTTAGATATCGAGTATTTGAGATTTTAAAAATTAGAAAATTAAGTTTACGAATTTAAAAATTTTGAGGATTGCGATAATATTAATGGTGATCTCTGATTAGTTAGTGTCCGAAAACGAATGGATGATCGTTCGATGAAAGATGGGTGACCGAAGATAACCGACGGTCGGAGTAGAGGGAATTCGAATAATTTTTTTAAGAATTTATTTTTTTAGATTTTAAAATATTTAGAATTTTAAAAAATAATAATAATTTTATGTTTTTTTAAAAAAAATAAAAAAATTTAAAATTATATAAATATAAGACCTGTCAGTGAACGGAAATTTTTGACGGTGTATAAACTAGGAAAAATTTAAACACCCAAAAGGAGAAATAGGTATAATTTAAACACTTTTTCATATTTAGCCTACAATGAAATATACAAACGAAAATCGATTGATACTCTATATGCCAAGTCCAAATCTTATAGTGCAATACTATCTGGGAAAGAAAAAGTAAAATTAGAGGAATGAGCTGAAAAAACTAAGTGTTTAGTGACGTGCAGAAAAAATATATAGATGTTAAAATAATTTGTACAATTTGTAAGTTCCCCATAAGCTTACACCTACAACAAGGTCTTCTATATATAGCATGTGTGGCAGGGCGGATGCATTAAGCTCCTTAGAGGGCCAAGTATTATTTAAATAAAAAAGTGAAATTTAGTGTGATTTATTAAAAAGTTATGAACAAAATTAAAATTTTGGACCATATTCTTTTGGATCTGCAACTGATGTGTGGTAAGTGTGGGAAAGAATCACCCTTATCGCAAAGGTACCTGCAGCAAATACTTACAAGTCCAAAAGCATGAAATTCTTCTTCTTTTGACAACTATATCTGGAACAATAAAAATAAATATGCATTTTCAAAAACATGCATACAAATAATTGAAATGACGGCAATCAATAATTATGCTTCTTTTAAAATATGTTAATAATCATGTTGGTGATCGACGATATGTATCTTTAGCTTCGCTTGATAGGCTTCTGGAGGATGCAAGTTTGCAGAACATTTCGGAAGGTGAACTTGTTCAAAATGCTGGAAATTACTTTGTAAGATAGATAATTGTTAGTGTCATAACCATTTTTTTACAAAACAATTATTTATTATTTTAAAAACAGTTACAACTTTATTTTTGGAAAAATTGATGATTTTGAATTAAATTGGATAGAGTCGCCATCAACCTTTGGGTTAGGTAGGTCGAATACCTAAAAACGTCTTTTAAAAAAATTAATTTTAAGAAAAATAATTTTAAGACAAAAAAAAAAGCTATTCTGCGTCACCAAAGATTCAATTAAATGGATTCGAAAGTCGGTTACGCGTGGGGAAGTATTAGCACCCCCACAGCGCCCAAATTTTGGTACCTAAACAGTTATATGTTGTTTAAATATTGAGAATTACAAATTCAAAAATATATTTAAATTACGATCCTATTATTCATTTAACTTTATTTAAAAAGTGTCAACTTTCGGATGATTAATGCCTTTTTGTATGAACAATCTTCGGGAAAACACTTCCTTTGCAGTTAAGAGATTTTCTAATAGATTCCTCACAAACGATGTTTCTTTACAATTTTTTAAGATAAAATAACAAAACAACAATTTATACGAAAAACCATAAAAAAGATACATTCTCTTTAGTTGAGAGATATCTTCGTAGATTTCTCTCATATTGAAATTTCTTTATATTTTTGCATATTAAAACCAAGATGATTTACAAACAAAGTGGAAATGAAAATTTCCTACAAAGAATGCTTTCAACAATTACATGATTTATATACAAACATATATAAAATTATAATGATTGATAAACAGTAAAATTACAAATCTGTATCAAAATACATATTTGCAAACATGATCAACTAAAATACTAACAAAAGTAATTATTTAGGACTAAATTGCAAAAATAGAAAGTTAAAGAGCCAAAATAGCAATAACAAAAAGTTAAAGAACCAAAACAGTAAAAATGGAAACTTAAGGGACTAATGAAAAATACGCTTAAAAGTACATGGACTAAAAAAATTAAACCAAAAATACATAACATCTATCAGAAATGGGTAAACCACGAAAACGATACCTACAAGTAACCATTTTTCAAAACAAGCCAAACTTAGGAGATTTAAAGTACAAATTTCCCCTGAAATTTTCTATAAATAACAAATTTTTTTATTTTCATTTCATTTGTTTTTAAATTATTTTGAGAGAGAGGGAGAGAGAGTCTCCATTCTCTCTAGAAAATCGGCAATCGTCGGTGGTTACTTTCGTCGGCAGTCAGCTTCGTCGTCGCCAGTTACCACATGACGTCGCCGCACCGTAACGCAGCCACCGCCGCTAGTGGTCGATGGTCACTAAATTTCACCGGGAGGTCCATCTTGGCCTCTCCATCTTGGATCTGGGGTCGATTTTGCATTAATCGGCTCCGTTAGTCGTAAAAAGGCCGAAAACCGTTCGATTTTCTTTTCTTCGATCCGCCGCCATCCACCGTCTGATCGTGCTGATTTTTTAGTATGTTGTTCGTGTTGGCCTTGCGCAATTTTCACCGTTCGGATTGTTGATCATAGATCCCTATCGCCAATGAAATTCCGACATAATGTAAGAACCTTTTTTTTTCTTGTATTTATTTTATTTCCGATTTTGGTTGTTTTGTTTGATTTTGTAGGATAAAAAAACTAAAAAATAAAAAAAATAATAGTAATAAAACTTTGCTGATAATTTTTATTACATTGCTTGAAACCATGGAAAAAACCCTTGTTTCGAATCGAAAACCCTTACATTTTTCGAGAGCCCCTGATTTCTTTCGTTCGAATGCTTTCTTTTGTCCCCCTTTTTCACACACACCGAATGCCCCCTTTATATTTTTTTCACTCACCTAATCTCCTTGTTTTTTTCTTTTCTTTTTTTTTCATATGATGAGATATTGATGTAGTGGGTGAGGTATAATTTTGCTTTTTGTTTTTTATTGTGGCAGATTTTTGGCTGATTTGGGTACTGTTTTGAGTGTTGTTGATTTTTAAAACCTCACTATTACAAATGGGTAAATTGGAGTTTAGTCCTTGGATTTTGTTCCCTCTTTAATTCTCAGATAAAATTAGGGTATTATAGTTAGGCTTTGAATATTTAGAACGGTGGATCTCGAAAGATATCTGAAAACAGTATAGTGTGCTCATATTTATGAATTTTTAGAAAGTTATTCTATTTCTTAGGATGTTAAGAATTTTGTAGTCATTTATTCTATAACCTTGATTATCATTATGTGTTCTTTTTCTCTTTTTAATGGGAAGATTTTTTTATCGAAGACATAAGATAATCTTGTATGACAGTTTTTTTCCATAAAAGTCATATTATTGAGAGAGAAAATGCACTCATGACTATTATTTTATTTTGATTAAGCTAAAAAAGATAAAACAATAACGTAACACGAACTTGAACACATTTAGACTCATTGAAAAGTCTAATAATATATTTTCTGAATTCAAAAATTGTCTGAACGAGATCTGCTGAATGTGATCCATACTCAATCGTGAAACACGATTGGGTTGCAATTTGAATACTTTATCTTCATACTCAATCATGAAACACGATTGAGTTACTATTTGAATACTTTATCTTTATAATAAACCTATCTACCATTGTGATAAAAGAGAGAAAAAGAAGAAGAAAAGCATCATTTGTTCTTCTGTCAGTATAGGTTCCTTGTTGGCACAGTTGGGTTCAGCATATGAGGGGCGTAATCTCTACTAAAGGCGAAAAATCCAAATTAATCCTCTACTGAAGGCGAAATATCGAAGAACACCAAAATCAAAATGATATACTTTGTGTCTGCCTTTTTTGTCTTTATATTGTTTCTTCGTTGGACGCAGTTGACAGACCATACACTCTTTTAATCTTTCAATTAATCTCTCTTCCTATTGTCAATTGATCCTTCCTCCAGACATGGATGAAAGTTTGAGAACAGCTTCTCTAACCGGAAATGTTGGTGATTTGTACAGGTTAATTCGGATAGATGGAAATGCTTTGAGGCGCTTCGAGGATGTGGAGTTTGTGGACACCCCTTTACACATTGCTGCAGAACAAGGGTGCATTCGATTCGCAATGGAGATAATAAACCTCAAGCCATCATTTGCTCGGAAACTGAACCAGGATGGCTTGAGCCCCATGCACCTCGCGCTTGAAAAAGGGCACAAAGAGATGGCGTTGCGTTTCATGGAAATGGATAAAGATGTTGTTCGTGTCAAGGGGAAGAGTGGTAAGACTCCTTTGCACTTGGTAAGTAAAGTTGGAAACCACGATGGTATGCTGGATAGATTTCTAGAGGCTTGCCCTGAATGTGTTCTAGACGTTACGACTAAGAACCGCACTGCTTTGCATATTGCAACCAAAAATAAGAGACTGGACGTTCTTCAAGTTCTAATCCGAATGCTTCGAAAGAAAGACAAAGACTATTATCGGGAAGTGGTGAACCGGAAAGACGAAGATGGCAATACTGCACTTCACATAGCTGCTGGCAATAATCAACCTCAGGTTTGATGACTTATCTGCTTTAATAGTTAATATTACATAGATTATTTTGTACGTCGTTGACATTTTAATTGATTGTAGCAGATGCTCAGATTACTATTAGACTGCAAAGCTAATAAGCATGCCACCAATCAGGCTGGTTCGACGGCACTGGATGTTGCAATAGGGCAAAGTTACAGAGAAAGCATCAGTATTCTGCGGGGTTGCTGTATTCCAAGAGTTTCAAACTTTAAATATAAGATGGAGAAACAAATCGCCAAGTATCTAACCAAGGCATCGTCACTAATTTTTTCGGATATGGATAATATATCAGGGAAGACCGCAATGCTTTACTAGTAATTTTAGGACTGCTTCTTACGGTAACTTTTCAAGCCGCTCTTAGCCCGCCCGGTGGTGTCTGGCAGGATGAAAGTTCCTCAGAGTCTAAAGGGTCGTATGATCGATTATCATTGGGGATGTCAGTCTTGCCTCAATACGAATTTCTTTTATTCTATGTTCCGACCTATGTGGTGTTCATCGTTACCTTTTTCCTAACACTAGCCCTGCTCAAACCTTTTCCCAATGGTTTCCGGACAACACTTCAAGTACTACTCGCATTTCTTGCAATATGCTTTCACCGATCAATAATTATCATATCCTCGGCCTATTCAACAGTCACAGTTATCAATATATTATCAGCACTTGTTTTCATTTTAATGTTGTTCATGTGTATCACATATGAAGTTTCGAAAATCAGCGTTTCAATCGTGGGATGTTGGATATTCACTGAACTTTGGCCCTCCGCTCCAAACATACTACACCTTTCTGATGAAGAAGAAACAATAGTTGCAAGCGTAATTCTAGGATTATTTTTATTCCTTTTTCTGTTTGATAACTTCTGGAAAGGAACCATTTTAGTTGTAGGTAATGGTTTAGCTGTTTGTATAATTTTCATTAGGCATGGTTTCTATGGTGGCGTTTACCTACAAACACCTCTTATAAGCGCAGGAAGTTGGTTTTTCTTTCATCTATGTCGAATCTGCATAAAGCGATGTATTCGCAATAGGAATGGTTGAGAAAAAGATATGATCCCTAAACAAAAACAACCGTCAATGGTGGAATTTCATCGACAGGTGGAGATGGAGAATTTTGGTCCGTGGATGGTGATAGAACATCGAAAAAGAAGGAATTTATGCAATAGTTTTGAGATTCTTAGTGGGGAAAAAGTAGTGATCAAAGGTTGAACGATACTTAATGTTCTTGACAACTTTCAGGATCACATCTTTCACAAGTTAAGAATAGATAATTATTGCACGAATCAAGTTACCTTAGTGGTTAAAAGAATTGTTATTCATAGACGTTCAGAGTTCAAGCACCAATGACCTCCCATCAGGGGTGATTGAGCATTCATTGTCAATTTGTTAAAGAGTATTTAGAACGGATACTACTTTATAATCATCTTAGCTTAATAAAAAATAATTAACTATTTTGAAGTTAAAGATGAAGATGTCTCATGCATATCAATTATTTTTACATGTATAGACATCGAATAATATTTGAAGATTTAAAGATAAATGATATTGTAACACTTAGAAATTACTTTTTGACCAATTAAGATGTGATGCTTCTGGATGAGCTAAGATACAATTGTTATGGACCAACTAAGATATAATGCTTCCAAACCAATAATTTATTATCTTCGTTGAAGGTAAAAGTTATCTTTATTCACATTTTTACAATCACCGAGTACGCAATAGATATATTTATATTTATATTTAAGATCCTTTTAATATGTGTGCACATATAAAATTCATATTTAATTTATCAATCTACAAGTCAAGTGTAACACCCATTTCGAGCACGAGTTAGATCAGATATCACATGAAATTTTCAAAACATTCTTTACCTAATTTTAGTAAAATTTTGTTTCTCTAATATCATTGATAAATTAATTATATCAAAATATATAAAATATACTTTCAAACTATTCTGGTTACAATTAACACATAAACTAATGACTTTTAGAAGTATAACTTGTAACACCCTAAACTCGATTGAGCCTAAAGTGTCACATTGGGCTACCGAGGCAACCCCTTATTTTTAAAACGTGTTCATTTTCCTTTCAAACATATTGAATGGTATCATAAACAAAACATAAATAATTATAAAACATTTTACAAAACCGGAGCTTCATGACACATAATATAAAACCAAAATAATGCAAACTTGAGTTTTATAAACTAGATACATAAGTAAGGTTCTATTAATACATATAGCTACTTGTCGACACCGTTTTTTGCTCGGGTGGGAAAAAACTAGTGCGACTTGAGGGTTTTCAGAAAAGATTTTTAAGAAAAATAGGAGTCGTCACTAATCATTTGAAGGTGCGATTGTAATACCTAAAATAAGTAATTTTAAAAAATATTTTATTTTATAAAAAATATCAATTTTGTCTGTGAAAACTAGAAATAGGGTTCGAGAGTCAATTACACGTGGAGGAATGATGAGCATCCCCACAGCGCCCAGAAATTGACACCTAGTTGATTACCTTATACTTAAAAAAATGGATTTTTTTAATTCGAGATTTTATTTAATTTAAAACCCACCATGGATGCAAACTTGGAAGAGGATGTCGGTTTACCAAGACCAATAACAACCACCCTCGAGCATTTACGCGAAAGCTTTGTTATCAATCCCAATAAACGAACATTGCCTCGAGGATTTAGAAATCATGGTGCGGAATTTTGAAAAAGATGTCTTCTTACTTCGAGAATTACAAGTGGTCACCCCTTAAGCATAATGCGGGGATACACTATTAACTCCTTGGTAAATGAACATTGCCTATGCTAGGTTGGTTAATTAAGACAATTCCTAACTTAAAGTGTCAAATTATGAAAATTAAAGAACCTAAAGGACTAAACCTAGAAATGGAGGCTCTATTATTAATCCAATTTGATTTTAACTAGTTATTGAATCGAATAATTGAAATGGTCCCTCGGGCATGTTAATGCGAGAGCCAATTCAGATTACTCCCTAAATTAAATGACTAGATTGAAATCTAACCTAAAGTGGAGGCTCTAATTAACCTATTTAATTTTGTCAAATGAATACCTAATCTAAGAAATTGAAGGACTAAATTGTTTAGAATCGAAGGATAAGACTCTAATTATTAACCCTAATTACCTTTTACAAATTATTGAATCGAATAATCAAAATGAACCTTCAAGCATCTAAATGTGAAGGCCAAATCGAATTATTCCTTAAATTAAAGGACTATAGTGTAATTCTACCTAAATGGAGGTTCTAATTAATAACCTAATTGATTATTGAATCGACTAATGAAGACATAACCCCTAACATAAGCAGAAACTATTTTAAGAATCCTTTTAACTAACATAAATGAAGACCTAATTAAAAGAAATAAATCTAAAGGTGTAATCTAAGTCAAATATCTTAATCTAAATGTAAATTAAAGAATAAAAAAATAATATCGTACTCAAATGTTAACAGCAATATGAAGCAAGTAAATATGGAAAATAAATGCGTTTAAATCAAAAGAAATAATAAAGGTTAAAAGGAGGAAAACACTAGTAAAAACTAAAAGAAAATTAAATTAAAATTTAACTAAAAGATAAAAGGATTGAAGAGAAGGAAACGACAGATTTGGGCGAATGTCATGGGTCAAGCGGATTTAAATAAATTTAAGAGAATTTCCAATGAGTGTTGGTACAAGTGGTTGAGATTCAGGAATTCGAGTTTGTAAGGCCAACTTCGAATCGCACCACCGTCACCTTTGGTGGGCAATCTATAAAGTCATATGTAAATCTCAATTGGGTTTTAGGTATGCCCTGGCCCTTGATAGGGAGAGTCACCCCTGACCTAAACTTTTGTGTACCAAAAAATAAATAATTAAATATATTTAAGAGAATTAAAGAAATTTGATAACTTAAAGAAAACTACATTAATTACGCAAGAAATAACTACTACATTTAAGGGAATTAAAAAAATAAATTTTAAAGAAGTACTTACCTTAAGTAAATCGGAATAAATTTGGAGAGAGAACAAAAATACTAAACGATAATTAAGTAAATTAAGTGAAGCCAAAGAAATGGATTAAATTACATTAAAATAAATCGGGAAGGCCAAATTATTTCGCCAAATTACAAGGGGTAGAACCAAATTTCATGCAATTAAGGTCTAACATATAATAAAAATAAAATACACATGCAATTCCAAATAAATAGAAAAACAAAATAATGGCCTAATTGAAACAAATACAAACATAACAGCGAATTCAAAATAAATTAAAAAGAAAGATCTAGAGACAAAATGTAAAAATGTGGCTAAAGTACAAGGACTTTAAAGAAATTAACCCTAATCATCCTATATAGATACCTAATTATAGATTAACCCTAACCTAAACTCACCTTAGCCCTTCAGCCTCCTCATCTCTTTGTTCTCTCACCCCTTTCCCTACTTCTCTCAGCCGACACCCCAGACCATGGCTTTCATTGTCGCTGGCCACCATCAACGGTGGTTAGATGACCACGAACCAAAACCCAAAACACCCTAAACGCTTCGATCTACTCATCTAAACCTAAACTGAGACCTAAAACCATCAAAACTTGTAACATCCTGAAATATGGGTTAGGAGTTTCGGGTTTATCCATTTGGGATTATGAATGATTTTACTCTAGTATAGGAAGCCTTGGACCCAAACATATTTGATTTGAGCTTGGGATTAGCCCAATTAGCTAAAAATGGGATGATTTTAATCATGTATGAAATGGGGAAGGACTAGGTGGGTAATTAACCTATTTTTCAAAGAAAAGGTTGAATTCCCGTTAAGAGGGATGATATCACGTCTGATTCCTCTCATATCTCTTTTTCATCCCAAGCTTTGTCTTCTTCCTCTATTCTTTTTCATCCTCTTCTCTCCCAAGTTGAGTTAAAGGTTGGGACTTTGAGAAATTTGAGCCTCCATTAAATCTTTCAAGTTAAGATTCGTAATCTACACTTCCTAAGCTTCAAGTTGAACTCTCATTTGCAAGTTTTGGCCAAGTTTCACAAAAAAAGGGTTTAGTGGGTTTTATGAAATTCTAAGTTTTGGCTCATTTTGTGGGTTTTGATTGGTAAGAGAACGTTTTTGGCTTCTCACTAAGGTTGAAAAATGAGCTAACAACTCATTAAACTTGTTTTGTTTAGTTCAAGAGCAAGGAGAGAGCTCAAAGGCTAGGAGAAAGGAAAATCTAACACTTGGGGTTATTTGAGGACGCTTTGCAATCACCTAGCTCCAAGGTAGCATGTTTCTAACTTATCTATACCACATGTAGATCATTGTATGCACATTTTGGTATGTTTTCTTCATGTAAGCATGCTAGAGTAATTTCATGACAAGTTCCGTTTTTTATGTTTGAAAGCTTGAAAGATGACAACTTTTAACCTCTAAAACCTCAAATAAGACTTTAATAAGCTTTTATAGTCTTAGAGGAGCATATAGGTGAGGTTTAGAGTCATTTTCGTGCTAGAATAGGGCATTCTGGTTAGTCAGTATTGATATTGGAAGAACAATACCAATAATATTCTTCGTGAAAGGCCAAAACCTAGCATTTTATAAAGGCAGTATCGATACCCCCTTCAAGGGATATCGATACTCGGGGTCCAGTATCAATACCCAGATGGCTAGTATTGATACTGAGACATTTTTGAAAAACATCAAAGATGATTTTAGTATCGATACTCATGAGAGTATCGATACCCATGGTATTGATACCCAAGTTTTTTCAAAACATCGAATCTGATTTTGGTTTCGGTACTTACTTGAGTATCGATACCCATGGTGATTTTTGGGCAATTTTTGTAATTTGGTTTGGGTGTTTGGGCTTAGGTGCATTTAATAGCCCCTAACATTTATCAAGAAGATTATTTTAGCCGTTATTATTTTTTTGGAGCATTTTGGCTGCCTACAATAGACTTTGAGGCAAAAAACTCTTCTATAGATGAAAACATTACTTAACACATGATTAACGTTATAAAATAAGAATGTTTTAACCTAAAATGAAACGTTGAGGGCAAAAATGTTTCAAAAAAGAACAAGGGACAAAATGATTATTTTGTCATATGCTAGAGAATTTTTTGCTCTAAAATGAAACGTTATAGGCCAAAATGCTTTGAAAATATAATAGAAGACAAAATGATCATTTTGATAAATGTTGGGGGATAATTTTAATAATATGTCTTTACTTAATTATACCAACCATCTCATACATACATACATACATATATTTAATAGAAGAACAGTGAGGAACATATCTACCATGATTGTGTCATGTTTATAATGTAATATATACGCGTGAAATCAGTAAGGAACATATCTTTTAACGGCTTATTACTTCAGTTCCCGCAAGATATATGAATTTTCAGTTTGGTTCTTTAAGAATTTTTCATCATTTTGTCTCTTATTTCGATAGATATGATATTCAAGCGGGCTACCACACAATGACACGAAATGTATACTGTGGGGAAAACTGAAGACTCAGATACATTTTCCATATCACTTCAACTTTGTTTTGGATGAACTTAAAAAGAAAAAAAGAAAAAGAAAAGAGCAGAACTCGATTCTTTCCTTTTTATGCATTGTATCACTTTGAATCAATTCTTATTTATTCTATTCTATCATATTTATATTACGGGTAAGTATTCGATGAAGTCGAGTCAAATCGAGTCAAAAAATTTTGAGTTAATAGAGTTGATAAGTCTCATTTTATAACTCAAACTTTATTTGAATTTTGTTTTTACTCGAGTTGCTCGAGTTTTTGTTTAAATTTGGTTGTAAATAAGTATAATGTTATGGTATTATTTGGTTGTAAATAAGTATAATGTTATGGTATTATTTGATTCCAATTTAAATCATTTGCTCGAGTTGCTCGAAGAACACCACAATAAAAATGATATACATTTTGTCTGCCTTTACTGTCTTTATACTGTTTCTTCGTTGGCCGCAATTCACAGACCATACAATCTTTCAATTAATCTCTCTTCCTCCAGACATGGATGAATGTTTGCGAACAGCTGCTCGAACCGGAAATGTTGGTGACTTGTACAGGTTAATTCGGGAAGATGGGAATGCATTGAGGCGCTTTGAGGATGTGGAGTTTGTGGACACCCCTTTACACATTGCTGCAGAACAAGGCTGCATCGACTTCGCCATGGAGATAATGAACCTGAAGCCATCATTTGCTCGGAAACTGAACCAAGATGGCTGGAGCCCGATGCACCTCGCGGTTAAAAAAGGGCAAGTAGAGATGGCGTTAGGGTTCGTGGAAATGGATAAAGATGTTGTTCGTGTCAAGGGGAAGAGTGGTAAGACTCCTTTGCACTTGGTAAGTAAAGTTGGAAACCACGATGGTCTCCTACTGCTGGATAGATTTCTAGAGGCTTGTCCTGAAAGTATTCGAGATGGTACCACTAAGAATCGCACTGCTTTGCATATTGCAACCAAAAACAAGAGACTCGACGTACTTCAAGTCCTAATTCGATGGCTTCGAAAGAAAGACAAAGACTATTATCGGGAAGTGGTGAACCGGAAAGACAGACATGGCAATACTGCACTTCACATAGCTGCTACCAATAATCAACCTCAGGTTTGTTGACTTATCTGCTTTAATAATTTATATTACATAGATTATTTTGTACCTTATTGACATTTTAACTGATTGTATCTTTTTTTTATTACATAAACCATCAATAAGCAGATGCTTAGATTACTATTAGACTGCAAGGCTGATAAGCATGCCACCAATCAGGCTGGTTCCACGGCACTGGATGTTGTAATGGGGCAAAATAACAGAGAAAGCATCAGTATTTTGCGGGGTTGCTGTATTCCAAGAGTTTCAAACTTTAAATATAAGATCCAGAAACAAATCTCCAAGTATCTAACGAAGGCATCGTCACTAATTTTTTCCGATATGGATAACATATCAGGCGAAGACCGCAATGCTTTACTAGTAATTTTAGGACTTCTCCTTACGGTATCTTTTCAAGCCGCTCTTAGCCCGCCCGGTGGAGTCTGGCAGGGCGAAAGTTCCTCAAAGTCTAGAGGGTCGTATGATCGATCAGCATTGGGGACGTCAGTCTTGCGTAATGAGGATTTTCTTTTATTCTATGTTCCGACCGATGTGGTGTTCATCGTAACGTTTTTCCTAACACTGGCACTGCTCAAACCTTTTCCCAATGGTTTCAGGACAGCACTTGAAGGACTACTCGCATTTCTTGCAGTATGCTTTCACGCGTCAATAATTTTCATAGCCCCATCCTTATCAGAAGCTAGGATTATCAAATTCTTATCTGCAATTGTTTTCATTTTAATGGTGTTCATGTGTATCACATACGAGGTGTCGAAACTCAGCGTTTCAATCTTGGCATGTTTTATATACATTTTAATTTGGCTCGACTTGACTGAAAACATGGAAGGTGTGATACACCTCTCAGATAAAGAATATTTCATGGTTGGTAGTGTAGTTCTAGGATTGATTTTGTTCCTTTTTTTGTTTGATAACTTCTGGCAAGGAACCATTTTAGCTGCAGGATGTGGTTTCTTGATTGATAATTTTGAGTTTTTTGGTTTTATCATAGGAAGTTGGTTTTTCTTTCATCTATGTCGATTCTGCTTAAAGCGATGTAATTGCTCTTATTTTTCTTTTAACTGCCTTCATTAGATAAATTAAGCCAATTTATTTTGCATCTATTCTCCTCCTTTAAGGTTGTTTCTGGAAGCTTAGGGGTTATTGTTTTTTTATTGGTTTTAGAATTCTGTTGTAATCTATCAAGTTTGTGGCTGGGCTTTCTTCCCAAATGTGTTGTACTCTTTTTACTAAATGAATATAATTGAAATTGACGAGAAAAAAAAGAGTAACCGTGCTCAATAGATAATCAAGTAAATCTAAAAGGTTGAACAGAAATATATTTTTAGCCATAATAATAACAAATTTATCTAATATTTGACTAAATAATTATTTATAGTTTTTATTTTTGAATATTAACCTTTTATTTTGAGGTAAAAATGTCTCTACTTCTCAATAAACAATTAACGCTCCAACAAAGAGTCTTTTGCTCTGAAATAACACGTTGGTGCTAAAATGCTCAAAAAATAATGGTTACAGTGATTATTTAATCAAATATTAAAAATTGTTTTCTTTTTACCTGAAACAAAATGTTAAGTCAAAATTCTCTAAAAATTATATAAAAAACTAAAATAATTATGTATTCAAACGTTATTTTTAACATTATGCTTATTTTTAACTTGCGGTAGATATGACATGTCAAGAATTAGGGATTGTCTCAGGAAAGGCGGGTTAATATACGGCTAATATACGGCATTACCGGATACATTAAAATGTATTTAATAAATTCGGTTTAACGGTACCTATTATGTTGACAACTAATAATGTTTTAGGTAGAAAATATGAAAAACTATTAAAAAATTTGGTAACCGGTAAACTTTGGTTATCGGTAAGTATCTATCATTTTTATAAAAGTGTCCATACTTTTAACATATCAAGTAAATTTTACCGGTTTTGTCATAATGAATCTGGTGTTGCCATATTTTTACATGTTATATTGTAAAGTATTTATCATTTTTATAAAAGTGTCCATACTTATTTCACTGTGAAAATATATTTATTATTATCTTTGGTTAATATTGTTAAATTTAAATTCTAAATAATATTTTATAAAATATCAAAACAATCAAATAATTTTTTGTGTAAATGAAATTATTAAATTAATATTGTAGGTGGAAACATGAAACACTATTAAAAAAAATTAAAACATAAATTACATAACTTTAAAAAATATATATATCATTTTTATAAAAGTGTACATACTTATTTCACTGTGGAAAACATATTTATTATTATATTTGGTTAATATTGTTAAATTTAAATTCTAAATAATATTTTATAAAATATCAAAACAATCAAATAATTTTTTGTGTAAATGAAATTATTAAATTAATATTGTAGGTGGAAAACATGAAACACTATTAAAAAAAATTGAAACATAAATTACATAACTTTAAAAAAAGTATATATCATTTTTATAAAAGTGTCCATACTTATAAAAGTAGGTCTAAGTCATGAAGAAATATTAAACAATTGTTGTAACAACCCGGAAAAATTTAGAATAATATTAAATTGAAATTGGAGGTTAATTATGAAAATTGGTAAATTTTTTTGGGACTAAATTGAAATATTTTAAAACTTGGAGCTTGTTTTAGAGTTAAAGGAAATTCAGGGACCAAGCCCTAAATTTATCCTAAAAGTGTCGGCAGCTTTGGTGATTTAAGCGTGTTTCTGGTTTCAAATCAGAAACCACAAATGTTAAATTGCTTAAGTTTTTCTCCTCCCGTACCCTTACTTCCAAGCCCGATTCCGACGCCGTTCGACGTCCAATCGTAAAATTGAAATCACCGTTGTGTTCATCATCAAGCGAGGAACAAACCCTTCAAATTAATTGAAGTGAAACGCTGCCAAACGTCGGGAATTTTCAGTCAAAGCATCGTCGTTTTTTTTTAGCTCTATCGCCGGGAAAAACTTAAATTCACCGCCGATCGTTGTTCCGTTTACGACACCTCCTGCATCATCGTGTTCCTTGTGTCGTTGCGAGTCCGCCGGGGTCAACCTTGTTCGCCGTCGACGGCGGCGCGTGAGGAGGTGGAGCAGTCAAAGATTCGGCCGAGTTGAAATACGAGCTCTCCGCCGTTCAAAAATTTGAACCGATCGTTGTAAGTATCTCGAAATCGCTCAAAATAATTTTTAGAAATTTTTCCGGGAATTTTCCGACACCGTGGAACTGTTCACGCGCCGCACGCGCCGCCGTAGGGAGAGTGAGCTGCTGGAAAACCGGTTTGACCAGTTTTGAACCGGTTTGACCGGTTCGAACCGGTTTGATCGGTCTGAACCGGTTTGACCGGTCTGAACCGGGTTGACCCGACCTGACTGTTGACCCGACCCGACCGTTGACCCGACCCGACCGTTGACCGTGACCGTTGACCGTGACCGTTGACCGTTGACTTTCTTTGACTAAAACTTAAGATGGCTTTGACCGACCCTTAAACGACCGTAAATCTTTTCCGAGTATACCTATCCTGATAGTTTTCGACGTGCCAAATCCATTTCCGCAGTCTGTTTCACCAAATTCAAACCCGAAGGTCTCCAAATCGACGGTCAAAGTGGTTGACTTTGACTTTGACCAAGAATTTGGATTTTCGAAAAGTCATACTTTATATTTTTCGACGTCCTGATTCCGATTCCGCAATCCGTTTGGCCAAATTCAGACTCGAAATACCCCAAATTGATAGTCAAACTCGGAAAATGCTTAGATACTTGAGAATTTTAGCTTTGAACAATTAAGTAAGATTTGGGGCTGATAAATTATTGTTATTTGAAGGTGCACGAGACTCACCGGATCGTTCAACAGCTCGACCCAGCTCTTCTAGATCAGTTAAACCACGTATGCCAGTATTCACCCGTAAGACCAGTAAATTTTATGATTTTAGAGATTTATTTATGTTACCCATAAGTAATATAGTGTTACTATAAATTAGGTTCGAAAACTGTAGCAGAGCGTGGTGAAACCAGCAATCAGTAGATCTACGATTTGAATCTATTATCGAGGTGTGTTCCCTATTTATTACTGAACTGTTTTATTTGTTTTAATATGTGGTACACTGAATTCTTTGGTTACCGTATTGTTGATGCACCGATTTAATGTGATGATTTATGGATTATGACTGTTATCTGATATTTGTTTTGAAATGGTATATGATTACCATGTTTATGGATTTATGGAATTTATAACACGGTGCAATTGAATTTTTGGAATACGAATTTATAAATTACAGCTCTGATCAAGCTGGAAAATTTTACAGACCTAATGTGACTCTTAGGTAGGCTCTGCGGCCCTGAGATCATTCTCGGGTAGGCCCTGCGGCCCTAAGATGTGTTCTTAGGTAGGCCTCACGGCCCCGAAATCTATCTTGGGTAGGCTCTCAGGCCCTAAGATGTTCCCTTAGGGTAACGCTTTTTAAAGAGATTTACTGCAGTATAATTTTATGAGACTTTTTGGACTATGATATGTTTAGTGTACCTATAGTGATTTTATGGTAATATTGGGACACACTGAGCCTAGCTCACTTTTCGAAAATGTTTTTTTTCCCTTTCAGATACTATTGGTTAGATACCCTGGATTGAGCACTTGGAGGATCAACATATCTCTTGAAGTATATCTGATTGTAACGTTTTTACCTTGCAAGTTGACTTTATTTTGTTGACATGGACCTTATTTTAAAGTATGGGATTTTAATATGATGACATTTTTACTATTACTATTCGGTTTATCGTGATTTGATTTTTAAGATATGTTTTAAATTAATTTATTACTTATTGGTATTATATTTACAAGTTAGGTTTTGATAGTATGATTTATTATAATTTCATGTCATTTATAATGTGATTTTACATTGTTTGAATAACGGTTTCGGAAAAATGTCTTAAAGAATCATAATGTGATCCACTAGACTTAGTCAAAACGCATAGGCCGGGTCTAGGGGGTTACATTTATTGGTATCAGAGCTTTTGGTTTTTAAACCTCGGACTGTGTATGAGTCCAAATTGAAAATACGATTTTGAAATATTTACAAAACGAGTTACTAAGGTCATGTCACAAAGTTATTAAATTTTTAACTGTGTTCGAGACTCCAAGTGCTTATCTAACCCTAAGTTTTATCTTCTGTAGCAAACTTGAGCTCCACCAAAAATGAGTGCTAGACGTGGTCGTCGAACTAGCCGTGGATGAGGTCGAGTGGCTAGATTTGTAGATCCGATCGATGAGATACGAGTAGATCCCCCACCTCCGATAGGTGATCCTGCTCCTTCGACCCCAACAAATCTGCCTCCTACCGATGGTATTGGTATGACTACACCGATCATAGGAGCGACCGATATTGAGCCAGAATCTACCGGAGTTGCTTTGGATGAGACTTTTGGTAGACAGTTTCTGCAGTTGATACAGGGAGCAGTCAGAGCTGCTGGTGTTGTATCTGAGGTTCCTATTTCGCAAACTCTAATTGCTAATGGGGTCAGGACTTTTGGAGGACAGCTTGGAGGAATTCCTACTGAAGCAGAAGATTGGCTATAGGATACAGAAAGACGCATGGATCAGTTGGGTTTGGACTCAACTAAGAGATATTTGGGGGCAGTAGCGATGTTAGATGGCAATGCCCACACATGGTGGGAGTCAGTGACCGGTAGTGTTCCTACCGATCGTTTGACATGGGATTTCTTCAAGGAGCGTTTTCGGAGCCGATTCTTGGGTGAGCGCTACTTAGTCCAGAGACGACAGCAGTTTCAGGACTTGGTTCAGGGTGACATGACTGTTTCAGAGTATGAGATAGAGTTCTTGAAATTGTTAAAGTATGGAATCAGTCTGGTGCCTACCGAGAGAGATCGATGCCGTAAATTTGCCCTCGGACTCAGATACGAGCTACGTAGGCAGGTGGTAGCCCTTCAAGATGAGATTTTTGATGTGCTGGTAAGCAGAGCCAAGGATGCTGAGGAGATGGAGGCGTTAGCTTCTGGTAGAGAGCGTGTTGATCAGGAGCGATCTAGGAAATC